ACCGCGCATTGAAAAAATCACGACGTCGGATCTCTGGGCTGCTCCCTACGAGAGCAGCGGGGGCCCCGGAAGAAACCAGATCCTGGCGAACGACCCGGCCACGTGCAGTTGTGAGTACCGCGTTGTGGGTACCGCTTTCGGTGGAACTCCCTATGGGGCCACGGGGCGTGTGAGGGGTGTGCCGACATGGGCGCGTGGACGCATGCGGGCCCTGCCGCTGGGGCCTTCGGTGGAGCTCCCTATGGGGCCACGACGCGTGTGAGGTGTACCGAAATGGGTGGAAAACCGCATGCGAAGCGCCCCTCCTGGGGGCTTCGGTGGAGCTCCCCATGGGGCCACGGAACGTGTGAGTAGTATGTCGATATGGATGGGGAACTGCATGCGACGCCCCCTCCTGGAGGCTTCGGCGGAGCCCCCTTGTGGGGCCACTAAACGTATGAGAGGTGTACCGAAATCCCAACTGGATGAGAACCGAATGCGACCCCCCCCTGAGTGTGTCGGTGGAGTTCCTCATAGGAGGGGTGTGTCGACATGGGTGAGACCGTCTGCGAGCCGGGGCTTCGGTGGAGCCCCCTATGGGGCCACGAAACGTATGAGAGGTGTGCCGAAATCCAAACTGGATGAGAACCGAGTGCGACCCCCAGCTGAGGAGGAGGAGGAGGAGGAGGAGGAGGAGGGGGAGGAGGAGGAGAAGAAGGAGGAGGAGGATGAGGGATGGAAGGAGGGCGCAGCGGGAGGAACGAGTGGGCGCGGAGCGTCTCGTCAGAACGAGGACCCCACACCACAGGACGGTCAGGAACAGCACGAGCCCTGGAGGCCCTTCTCCAGCTCAGGGTCAGCCAATAGATAGAAGGACGCGCTTACTAGGATGAGCGTTCGGATGTCCGCGCGGACCTCCGAACATTTCTGTTGATGCTGCCTTCTCTTGTCAGGCAACAACACACGACTCGGAAACCACATCCCAGAAATAGAAAGAGTGTCGAAAGAGTGTCGGGCGACCGACACGCGAAAACCATAGAGTTTCGGTACTCTTTTGGTGCTCGACATTCCTTCTGGTGGTCAAAGTTGAAGTAGGTCGGAACATCACAAGCTTGCCGTCGCTCGGACGTCAGTTTCCCGTGCATTTTTCGGTTTCGTGCGTGTTTTGTTTGGCTCGATTGTCCAGGATGGTCCTCAATTGTCCTCGCCGAGAAAAATGCACACGTCCGAGCGATGCCAAGGACTTGGGTTGGGCCCCGCCGCCAGGACCCCCCGAGTGTTCGCCAAAGAGCCTGGTGGCCCCTACCAAGCCGCCAATCTTGTGGATGCCTCGACGGCTCCGACGGCGACGCCCAGGCTGGAGCCCTTGGTTGCCCGACGCGAGGCCGCACTCGACGTCCTACATCGTCCGAGAAAACAATGCACGCGTCCGAGCGATGCCGAGTAGGACTCGGGACGCAGCGCTGGTCCTCGGGAGGCCCCCTGGGGGGCCCGCTGCCCCCTGGGAGGACCCGCCTCCCTCGGGGCCCGCTGCCCCCCCGCGGCGGCTCCAGGCCTGGGTACCCACCGCCCCCCCCCCCCGGGGGCGCGACCGGGATCGCCTCCTCCTCCTCCTCCTCCCCTCCGTCCTCCTCCTCCTCCTCCTCCGCCTCCGCCCCTCCTCCTTCTCCTCCCTTCCTCCTCCGCCCGCCTCTCCTCCTCCGCCTCCTCCTCCGCTCCTCCCCTCCTCCTCCTCCCTACCTCCTCCCGCCTCCTCCCCCTCCTCCCCCGCTCCTCCTCCCCCTCCCCCCCTCCTCCTCCTCCTCCTCCTCCTCCTCCTCCTCCCCCGGGGGCGGGCCCGCAGGTGCACGGCAGCGTGCCGGTCCTCGGCGGCGCGCCGAAGGGGGGGAACGCGAAGGTCGAGCAGGGACGGACCGTCCCGGCATGCCCGAAGAAAAGTCCTACCACGAGATGCTCCCATAACCCAGAAATTCGGGGTGACCCAAGAGGGGGTCCAGCTGAAGGGGGTGGTGCAATATATCTGGGGCAATTGTACTGCACATGCGTTTCGCAGGAGAGCTGGATCGCACTGTGTTGCAAGTAATGTATTGCGCGCGAAAAGCCAGCAATACATTTGCGCCCCGGACTGTATTGCACGCCCCAAATGTATTGCAACCCCACAAATCTATTGCACCAAATCTATTGCACCACCCCCTTGTCGCTGGACCCCCTTTTGGGTCATCCCGCAAAATGTCCTAAGACCCAGAACGGTGTTCTTAGAACGTTCACCCGATGCGACAAGACAGGACAATCCCAACCAGAAATGTTCTAAGAACAGTTCGTAGGAACCACAAGAAGGTTCTTAGAACATCGTTTGGTAGGGAAATAGGCACGCCAGGACGCTTCGCCACTGCTTGATTGAAGGGGGGGCCTCCTCAGAGGGCTCAGAAGGCCTCCGGCCTTCCGAGGAGCCTCTTCCGGAACCGCAGAAAGGGGGGCTTCTCCGGAAGGCCGGAGGGCTGCTGAGAGGCCCCACCGCCTCCTGAGAAGCCCTGCCCCCCCGCCACTCCCCCCTCCTGAACGCGCCGCCGACTTCCCTCTCCCGGGCACCCGCGTCAGTGCTCGGAGCCTTCGTGGCGCCCGCCTTCGTCGGCGCGGGGGGCCCGCTCTGCTGCCCCGGCGCCCCCCAGGGGGCAGACCGCTGGGCGTCCGCGAGCTTCGTGCGCGGCGCCGGTCTCATCGCCGGGGCAGGCGGGCGGGCATGCGAGGTCCCCCCCCGGCTGCGCGGGAGCCTTTCGTGCCCTGTGGCCAAATGGCCGCTCGAGGGGGGAAGGCAGCAGCGGGGGCCGCCGCTGGCGTTTTTTCCAGCAAGACCTCCAGTGGAGGGGTGCACCTCGTTTCAGGAGGAGTTTTGCTGTGAGGAGCGACTTTCCAAGAGACTGCTGGCCCCATCTCAGACGGATGTTCCAAGAAAGGGCCTCTTGAGCAAGGGCTTGTCCGCTCCACCGACGAAAGACATCAGGACGTCGGAGCTCTGGGGAGCCTGTCAGGGAGAGGGAGGATGAGGAGGAAAGCGGCACCATGGAGGAGGTCAACTTGCAGGGAGAGAGCCCCCCCAATACGTTGACAGCGGCGCGGTACGATGGCTCTGCTCGTCGTCGGCGAAGCAGCGGGTTTTTGCGCCACCAGAGAATTCTAAGCAGCTTTTCCACTACTCGGGACGAGATATTGTCTTCTCGACGTGGAAACAGCGATGAAGAGCTCGCGAGACAACATCGGCGCCGTCGAGCGCACGGCGTCTGGACGAGCTGTGCGCAGCAACTGGGGGGAGAGATATGTATTCGTGTTGAGCGGCGCCCGCGCGCGCGGAGAGTGGATGGGAGCGCGCGAGACAGCGCCGCAAGACCCGTCCTGGGAAATTGATAACCGAACTTCTCTCCCCCGTAGAATCGTAACCCGGCGGTTTGCGGTTGCGGGGTCCGCGGATCTGAGTTCTCTAGCACCTCGTTTTAATTTGAATGTTTAGAATCAGAACGGGGTGGAAATCGGATCCGTTTGACAAAAACAGGACGGACATCGGATCCGCAACATCCGATATCGGCTCCGCTCGGGCGGACATCGGATCCACCGAAACACAAACCACACTACAACTCTGACCCACGCGAATTTCATTGGATCCGACGTTGGTTATCCCATGCGCGTCGGCTCAAAGACTTCCAGCTGTCGTTCCTAGCCCAAAAGTGAGGAGACACTTTCGTCATGGGGATCCGCCGAAACACAAACCACAATAAACATTGGATCCACGCAAACTTCATTGGATCCCACGGCGGGTATCTCGTGCGCGTCGGCTCAAAAACTTCCAACCGTCGCTCCAAGCCCAAGAGAAAGGAACACCTTTCGTCATGGGGATGGGCGTTCTGGCCTTCGGGTGGGGCGCGGTCAGGATGCGACAGTGGTTATCCCATGCGAGTCGGCTCAAAGACTTCCAACCGTCGCTCCGAGCCCCACGAGGAAAAACTTTCGTCACGGGGATGGGCGTTCTGAGCTTCGGCTTGGGCGCGGTCAGGATGCGCGACGCTCGAGCCCGCGCCAGGGCGCGAGGCGCCTCGCCATCGTGCGAGAGAGCCCAGGGGCCGTCCGCTGGGTCAGGAGACGCAGGACCGAGACGCACTGGGCGTGAGCCAGTCTCGAGCTCATCCCGATCCCTACCCATCGGTCGGAAGAAGTAGGTCGAAACATGCAGTAGGACGGCGCTGAAAATAGAATGGGTTCCGTCCGCCCCCGACGGGGGACGGAAAAGGTGAGTCCACTCGATCATTGAAGTAGGAAGGCGTTCAAAGTAGATTGGACTGTGGGGATCCCAAACCGCCCACTTTCAACGACCGATTGGTGTCCCGACCCCTAGACATTCACACGCCAGAAAAAAGCGGTGACGACCGCAGGGATGCACCCTCGGAAGCTGATGTGGGCATCCTGTAAGATCGGCATCGACAGGAGGGGATGCCAGTCATAGGGATGGGGATATGCCTCCGGCTGGTAAGGTCTGGGCGACGCGACGGCTTCATGCCTGGCGCTTCCGCCCGATCCCTGGGCCCCAGGGGCCCTCGCGGCTCGATCCGGCTCGAGGGGCGCCGCAGAGAAAGTCCGGGCGTCGTGGTGCCCCACGCCGTGGCAATGTCGTCGCGGCGTTGGATCTCAGGATCTGGGGGCCTACTTCGGGCCCCTGGCGATCAACTGCAATGCGGACGCGGCCGCAGGAAGCCCTCGCAGGAAGCCCAGCCCTGAAGACCCGCGTGAGAGGTGCGACTTGCGGGAAGCCCAGGGCACCCTGGACGCAGCAGCCTCTTCAACGGCTGCGGGAAGCCACCGTGCAGCGCGCGGAGCGAAGAAACCTAGGATACCCTGACGAAAAGCATCTGGTTTCTTGATGCGCGCCCTCACTGTAGATCGTGTCTTGCGTCGTGATGCGTCGCAGGAAGCCGCCCCCCTGCCTGTCTTGACACAGCCTTGAAAACAGGGTGCACGCGGAGTCACGCCGGCGGGCGGAACACTTACGGCCAGATAAGCCGCCACCGTGCCGCGAGGCACGAGTTGGAGTGTCATCAAGTCTCCTGCAGTCCCCAGTCCTCAGCCCTCAGGACTTAGCAATCACAACCGAAACTGCGATCAAGAAAGTCAAGATCTAAGACATCTGGGCCAACTTCCTGGAAACTGCTTAAAACGTATCTGGGCAATCGTTTCATGTCCGCGCTGGAGGGGACGCCAACGCAGCTTTTCGGGTGGCGGTTCCTTAATCACATGCTCGAGTTGCGAAGGCCCGGACCCCAAATCCTAAACCTCCCCGGGCTCCCGGCGTACTTCTCGGGCCCCGGCGTCGGAGACAGGAGCGCCCCAAAGACGCAACCGCGAGGGCCCCGAGACGGGCGCGGTGGGGGTGTGAGCCGAAGGCCAGCAGATCCTCCTCCTCCTCCTCCACCTCCTCCTTCTCTTCCCCCCTCCTCCTCCTCCTCCTCCTCCTCCTCCTCCTACCTCCTCCTCCTCCTCCTCCTCCTCCTCCTCCTCCTCCTCCTCCTCCTCCTCCTCCTCCCCTCCTCCACCTCCTCCTCCTCCTCCCTCCCCCTCCTCCTCCTCCTCCTCCTCCTCCTCCCTCCTCCTCCTCCTCCTCCTCCTCCTCCTCCTCCTCCTCCTCCTCCTCCTCCTCCTCCTCCTCCTCCCCCTCCTCCTGGAGGTGGTCTTGCCGCAGTGGTGCACGGCGTGCGAAACTTCTGTTTGGCCGTTTTGGTCCTTCAAGGAAGACTGCCGGTGGGGCCCCGGCCGATCGCGCCGGGGGCACGGAGGCGCGCAGAGTCCACAGAACATGTCCCCACGACGGTCAATGTGGCCCAAGGTGGCACCCAAGACGGCCAAGGTGGCCCAAGATGCCCTCGAAGACGGTCCCAAGACGCCTCCAAGATGGTCAGGATGGCCTCGAGAGGGCATGGGAGTCTCCAAAAGGCAGGGGGCGGCGGTGATTTGCCACTGGCGTCTTCGATCCGCCGCCCCCTGTGGCTTGCCTCAGGGTTGCACGGCGTGCCGAACTTTTTCCCAAACTTCCTGTGTTGCGTTCGCATTTTGAATAGAGCACTGCGGTCGCGACCCCCCTCTTCCTGCCTCCTCCTGCGCTGCTCCCTGGGTGGCTGCGGACTGCGAATTTGTCACCACTTTCGTGGGCTTCTGGGAGGTCCAGCGGAGTCGGGGGCCTCGCGCATCCAGACAAAACCTCGCTGCTTCCTGGGTGGCTGCGAACTGACTAACTATCACAACTTTCGTGGGCTTCTGGGAGGTCCAGCGGAGTCGGGGGCCACGAACATCCAGACGGGACCTCGCTGCTCCCTGGGTGGCTGCGAACTGACCAACTATCACCACTTTCGTTGGCTCCTGGGATGTCCAGCAGAGTCGGGGGCCACGAGCATCCAGACGGGACCTCGCTGCTCCCTGAGTGGCTGCGAATTGCGCAATTGTCGCCACTGTCCGACGGAGTCGGGGGCCACGCGCATCCAGACGGGACCTCGCTGCTCCCTGGGAGGCTGCGAACTCCGCAACTATCACCACTTTCGTGGGCTTCTGGGAGGTCCAGCGGAGTCGGGGGTCTCGCGCATCCAGACGGGACCTCGCTGCTCCCTGGGTGGCTGCGAACTGCGCAACCGTCACCACTTTCGTGGGCTTCTGGGGGATCCGGGGGAGTCGGGGTCCACGCCTCGGATGTCCAGCAGAGTCGGGGGCCACGCGCATCCAGACGGGACCTCGTTGCTCCCTGGGTGGTTGCGAACTGCGCAATTGTCGCCACTTTCGTGTGGTTCTGGGAGGTCCAGCGGTGCCGAGGGTCACGAACATCCAAACGGGACCTCGCTGCTCCCTGCGTGGCTGCGAACTGCGCAACTGACACCATTTTCGTGGGCTCCTGGGATGTCCAGCAGAGTCAGGGGCCACGCGCATCCAGACGGGACCTCGCTGCTCCCTGGGTGGCTGCGAACTGCGCAGCTGTCGCCACTTACGTAGGCTTCTGGGAGGTCCAGCGGAAACGGGGGTCACGCGCATCCAGACTGAACCTCCCTGCTCCGTGGGTGGCTGCGAACTGCGCAACCGTCGCCACTTTCGTGGGCTTCTGGGAGGTCCGGCGGTGCCGAGGGCCACGAACATCCAGACGGGACCTCGCTGCTCCCTGGGTGGCTGGAAACTGTCAACTATCACCACTTCCGTGGGTTCCTGGGAGGTCCAGTGGAGTCGGGGGCCACGCGCATCCTGACGGGACCTTGCTGCTCCTTGGGTGGCTGCGAACTGCGCAACTGTCGCCACTTTCATGGGCTTCTGGGAGGTCCAGCGGTGCCGAGGGCCACGAACACCCAGGCGGGACCTCGCTGCTCCTTTGGAATCTGCGAACTGAGCAACTGTCACCACTTTCGTGGGCTCCTGGGAGGTCCAGCGGAGTCGGGGGTCTCGCGCATCCAGGCGGGACCTCGCAGCTTCCTGGGTGGTTGCGAACTGCGCAACTGACATCATTTTCGCTGGCTTCTGGGAGGTCCAGCGAAGCCGAGGGCCGCGCGGAACCATTTGGGACCTCGCTGCTCCCTGGGCGGCTGTAAACTGCTGTGGGGCCTCACTGCGTCCTTTCGCGAGCTCCTGGAGTAGAGAGTAACGTGGTAACGTCATGTGGTACATTGCTCCTTGTACCCTGATCGTCGACTGGGGGCTGTACAGTGATGGTGAAGAGAATAATGGGGATCCTCTTCCTCTCGAGTAATACCAGCAACTGTGCTGGTAGTCGAACAGGGCGTGCGCACCTTGCGCCAATGGCAACAGAGGGGCGCGTTATATTTCCCCTGGGACGCCTCCCTTTACAGAGTCGGGGAGGGGGGGCCGCGCTTTGCTCTGTTGCGCCGCGCAGGCCCAAGGCGCGCACAAACATCCACTCAGCGCGTCGGGCAAAACGGCCCGAAAGAGCTTGCGCCCGTAATCTCTGGGAGGAACCAAGGGAATGAAAGGAACGAAAAGGAACCGATATCCCGAAAAGGGGTGAAGCCAAACGAACCCGTTCCCCGAACATTGGTCGCGCTAGAGGCCCGTGGGCCTTGGGGCTGGGCGTCGGGAGCGACCTCCACTGGTGTCTCGCAGCCTTCGTTTTCAATGTATTAAAATGAAAAACATGCATGCCCGTTTCCGAGCAGGGGGGGGGGGCGCCTGTAGCACCAGGCGCTCGCAAATCTATAGGAGACCTGGAGACGGAAGATCACCCGACTAGATCCAATGGAACACCTCGCTCTGTACATTGCCTCTGGTGTCATGCTTGAAGGGCTGATGTCCGAACATTACTTCCAACATGCTGCCCCTACCAATACTACAATTGGTATGGCCATCAGCGGTCATACCCCGAGTATCACACCACTGATCGACATCAACGGTAGCTATATTTATGAAGTCAAACATCAAACTTCTCTTGCCGACTTGGGTACGCTCGGTCAGAACCTTCCGGTCTTTACTAAACAGAGATTTCTATACCGATTCTGCACCATCAGTTAGACATTCTTTAACAGCTGGACCACCCAATTCAAACACATCACGAAAGGCTTTAAGCGATAGTGGTCCCGCCTGTAACTTATGGAGTGTGATGGGTGCGGGATCTGCCTCATCCGAATTGTAGGATGATGCCAGCGCTTCCGCTGCGTTGCTAGATCGCGCCTGAGGTCGATGAGACCAGTGAGTGCCGTCGCACAGAAACACCGCGGTTTTGCAACGGGGCGTGTTTCCACACAAGAAGATGGTTGCTTCTCGAATGCCGTAACCTTTTGTTTCGTCGTCATCTCCTCTGTCCAGTTCACGGTGCCCAGAATCGCTGTGGATGTTTACGCCGCCCGTAGGGTCAATCCAAGGAAAGATTATGCTCTTCGGATCACAGATGAGTTTCCCCGTTGCAGCGTTCACGCGACGTCCTGAATATCCGTGGGCTCCTGAATCCTCTGCAGTGAGGCCACATGCAATATCGACCATATCTGGGCGAGGAGAGCATAAGCTAGGGCCCGCGGAGGCAGACAAACAAGTTAGGTGCAGCTTTCGCTGCCTTGGCCTCGTCAGCGGGTGCGCCTCTGAACTCAAGGTGTTCTATGGGCCGCAACTGTGTTGTGTGGTTGTCTTGGTCCATACCTGCATCACCAGTGTCGTTATTAAGTGTAGCGTGCGGCACCAAGTGTGTAGGTATGTTTACTGTCTGTATGTATAGATATACACCAAAAATCTGTTCCACCCTGCGAACGTAATCTTCGACCTTCTCGAGTCCCGCCGTGCCGGTCTACTCCACATGTTGGGCGGCGATACTATCGGAACCGAATTCTAGTTTGGGGCCGAAGCTCGTCGAATGTAAACCTATTGCTCGCGTCGCGTTGCTCAATTTAAGCGAGAGCGCTCGGGGTGTTTCCTGAATGCCACTGCCCAGTTCCATGTATCTTAAGCAGTGGCGACTCTCATCGTGGTTCGAGAAACACGGTAGTGTGCGCAACGCCTATGTGTTGCCCGGCTGTGGGGTAAAGCGCGCCGGGCAAGTTTCCTCGCCCGTCGAGCCTCGAGCTCCTTCTCCAGCTTCGCGACCTCTGCCTCCGACGCCGACACCGCCTCCAGCATCTTGAGAGCCTTACCATTATTGTTTGCAAGACGCTCCTTGGCTTGTTGACGAGCCCGAGCAGCCTTGTCGACCGCCCGAAGAGCTTCGCAACCAGCAGCACTGAGAAGCCCAGCAGCTGCAGCGCGCCGTGCGTTCTCGATCTTCGATCTGGACGAACGACATAGTGCGCACTTAGTCTTCTTGTAGGCTTCGAAGGGAAGCTCTGGCCACTCGCGAATCTCACTAGCGCTGAGCGTCGCACCAGCTGGGGCTTGCTGTCCACTGTCGCCTCCGCCTCCCGACATGTTGACCCACGGCTTCCTCGGCAGTACACCCTTCTGCTTGGTGCTTGTCCACCGCGGCTGCCCGACCCAGAACTCGGCTGCTTTCGGCCCGCCGTAGCTCCAGGGATCACGTGGCTGAGGCTTGAGCGCACCACAGCCTCCGCATGTCCGTCGGCCCTTGGTATTGAATTCCCCGCAACTGCACTTCCAGTAGTCAGCCATGGCGCCACATAGAAGAGCACTATCCACCCAGACAAACAAGCGGAGGAATTTGCTGGACACGGTGGTGTCAACGGAAAGAAGACTGAGGGCGAGCCGCGGACTAGCGGTATCCGTGCATTTCCTGGGTTAAAGCATAGTCTTGAGCCCAAATGGCTAAGGAAACCCGGCGGCCGAGAGTAAAACCGTCTCCGATAGGTTGCGCCATAGGTTGCGCCCTCGGCGGCTGAGAATCAAACCGTATCCTATCAAATGCGCCATGGGTTGCGCCCTCGGCGGTCAAGAATAAAACCGTCTCCGATCGGTTGCGCTATAGGTTGCGCCCTCGGCAGCCGACATTTAACCCGTCTCCGATCGGTTGCGCCGTAAGTTGCGCCGTCGGCAGATGAAAACAACATCGTCTCCGATAGGTTGCGCCACAAGTTGCGCCCTCGGCGGCTGAGAATCAAACCGTCTCCTATAGGTTGCGCCATAGGTTGCGCCCTCGGCGGCCGAGGAAAAAGCCGTATCCTATCGGTTGCGCCATTGGCTGCGCCCTCGGCGGCCGAGAATCAAACCGTCTCCTATAGGTTGCGCCATAGGTTGCGCCCTTGGCGGCTAAGAAAAAAACGTCTCCTATCAATTGCGCCATAGGTTACACCCTCGGCGGCTGAGAATCAAACCGTCTCCTATCGGTTGCGCCATGATTAGGTTGCGCCCTCGGCGGCCGAGAATAAACCCGTCTCCCATTGGGTGCGCCACAAGTTGCGCGCTTGGCGGCCGAGAGTAAAACCGTCGCGTAACGGGTGCGACCAGTCTGTTCAGTTCAGTTCAGTTCAGTTCAGTTCAGCTAAGCTCAGCTTCATTCAATTAAGCCAGTTTTACATAGCGAGAAACAAATTCGGGTTACGCCCGAAATTAGCTTGGCCAGATTTCGGCGGCCCAGCGTTTGGCCGCATGGGCGTTTCCAAAAGGCAGGGGGCGGCGGCGATTCGCCGCAGGCGTCTTCGGCACTCAGTTGACTGACGGGCGCTCACAGTCGAATGCCCGAGAAGGTGAGCCGCCTCAAAGTGCTGGCGGCTCCCGCGGCACGCGCTTGAGAAGTAGACAATTTACGCAATGCCTGGCTCTGCGTTTGAGGCAGTGCCCGCGCGCAGGCGGGTCGACAAGAGAGAAAGGCTGTGCTGGCACGCTTTCGGCGGGGTCGCCGCGATTTCGTGGTCGTCCTCCCCCAGCAGTCCACCGATGGCGAGCCCAATGTTCGAGAGGCGCTTGACGTACAGATTCAGGTATGGTGTGCCCAGCTGGGTGTGCCCGTGCACGACCTTCAGGACCACCTTCCCGAAGGCCATCCACCTGGATCCTGTACTGACAGCATCGCGCGCGTGGAAGTGAAACCCACCCTGCGCCTTGGCCTCGGACCACTTCCCTGTGATGTTCAGCGCTTGGAAGTAGACGTCCGCGCATGCTACACCATCCTGGCGCGCCTCGGCCTCGACGAGAAGCAGCACGCTCCCGGCAATTGCACGCCTCGGGATCTCGAGCAGGGTGTGCCTGCCGGGCTGCATCAGGTCAAACCGCTCGCCGTAGATGTTCTGCAGGTGCGGGTCTCCCACGGCGCTGGCCGAGGCCCTGGGCGGTATCGTCACCTCCGTCTTGAAGATGTCGGTGGGGTCGACCCTGGTCTTCACGTCCTGCAGGCGTGCGAACCAGCTCTCGTTCCTGGCGAAGTCAGCAGCTGAGCTGTGAGTGTTGTTGGTGAGCGTATCTGGGGTCATGAAGCTGTGAGGGACGTCGCCCTCCCCCCAGAGATGGCCAGTTGCTCCCCTGAATGCCACGATTCGATCCTCGGCAACCTGAGCCATGGCATCACCCAAGAAAAATACCCAGTCGTCGATCCAACATTTGATGTTTCTCATGGCGTACGCATTTTTGCCCGCGTTCGCGTCTATTTGGCCACCAAAGGGTAGGAATTGAAACGAGAAGTGCAAATTGGGGATAGAAACTCGGGCATCCAGCTCGTCTGCGACTGCATTATAGAACTCGGTTGTGGGCCACGCCATCGTACCAAAGCCATGAACGTGATACCTGAAAGGGCCTAAGTCAAACGCAGTTGACGCAACGCCAGGAAATACAGAGACCGGCACCGACACGAGAGGACTTACCGTCAAGTGTGGTATGTCCATCCAAGGTTTTGCATACGTGTCGTACAGCGAGCCCGTCAACGCGCCGTTGTCAATGCCCATCCATGTGAATCGGGCCATGATGTAGTGCTCATTCGTGGCACCAGGAAGGCCAAACAGAATGCCTGGATGCACGATGAACAGGATCGTAAGGTCCCTCTCCACCAGTGGATCTGACGACATACTGCTGAACAGGTTGCCTGTTGCCAACAGCATCGCGCGTGAGTATGGATACAGGAACGTGAAGGTTTGAAAATGCGGGTAATCTGCATCTGCAAAAGCATCGAGTGTATAGTCCAAAACGATTCCCCAACTACCAGGTCCACCCCCCAAAGCGGCCCAATACAATTCGGGGTCCGAAGACTCGTCGACCGTGCGCACCTCGCCGTCAGCCAAGACGATCCGAAAGGACTTCACCACATCCAGACCGAGACCGAAAGCTCTCTGGTAGTAGCCTACGCCGCTGGATTGATAATGCCCCCCGACCCCAACCCCGTCGCAGTTCCCGCCCGGAACCGAGAGACCATAAGGTACCAACATTGCGTACACCTGCTTCAAGGTGAGCCCCGAGCCAATGGTGACCTGCGCCGGGGTCGTCGCTGTGTTCACAACAAAAGTCTCCATGGCGGAAAGGTCCACCTGGATGCATGTTGGGCTGCTCTCTGGACATGAGGAATAGCCTGCATAATTGTGACCACCGCTCCGCACTGAGATTGTGAAGCCGCAAGCTTTGGCGAGAGACACCGCTTCCTGGACGTCGGCATCAACGCTGCAGAAAATGATCATACGCGGCTTGATCCTCGCATCGGCCGTGTCCGAAGAGCCCCCAATTGATGCCCACTGACTCCGTGACGTGTTGTACTCCGCCGACCCCTTGTACGCCTCCAGGCGTGCGAGATTGTTACACACCCCATAGATCCCCCCGGGGATCTCAAACCGGAAATTGGACCCCCACCGGGGCTTATCCCCACCCATGGCCGAACTCATCGGGGGCGGTCCGGGCTCCTGAGTGGCCCAAGGCGGCGCCAAAGGACTCCTGGACGGCCCGCGACGGTCCCACGACGACCTGAAGAGACGTTTCATACGGCCGTGATGCCCTCAAGAGAGCCCCAAGACGGCCCATGAGGGCCCCACGACGGCCCAGGAGAGCCCCAAGTCGGCCCAAGGGCGACCCAAAAGGCCACCACGACTGTCCCACAGGAGCCCGGGACAGCCCCAAGACCGGCAAAATGATGTCTATGAGGGCCCTCGATAAGTGAAGATGGCAGATGTCACAAATGACGGCTCTCGTCCTCTTCTTCCTCCTCCTCCTCATCATCATTATTACCATCCTCGTCCTCGTCCTCGTCCTCGTGCTCCTCCTCCTCCTCCTCCTCCTCCTCTTCCTCCTCCTCATCATTAACACCATGATCATCATGTTATTCATCCTTCTCCTCAACATGTCATCATCATTCTCATCGTTCTCATTCTTCTCATCGATCCGAGCAGCTGCCATGGAGAATGCTGGACTGGCACGATGGCGGAACTTGTCGTTCCCCTGATCCGTGTCCTTCTCCTCCCCCTTCCCCTCCCCCCATCCGCCGGATCCCACATCACATGTGATTTACAAAGGGTCTGGCGCAGACTGGCGCCCTCTCATCCCACCTCCTCCGCACACCTCCTCCCCGCCCACTATCCCCCTCCCCCTTTCGATCCTTCTCAGCCTTGTCCTCCAATTTCCACAGCAGTCCTAGTCGTCCTCGTCCTCCCTGTCCTCCTCATCGTCCTCCTGCTATTTGATGTCCAATTCCTTCTGCTTCTCTTGCTGTCCTTTGCATTGTGCTCCTCCTGCTCCGCCGCCTTCCGTTATTAGCGTCGTTGCCGATGTCGCCAGCCTCGCGACCGCCATCGTCGTCGTCGTCGCCGCCGTTGTCGTCGACTTCGTCGTCGTCGTCGTCGCTGCTGCCGCCGTCGCCATCGCACGCGTTGCTGCCGCCAGTGCCGCCGCCGCCGTCTTCGTCTTCTCCGTAATCGACGTCGTCGCTGTCCCAACCGCCACGGTGGTGGTGATCGTCGTCGCTGCCGTCGTCGCTGTCGTCGTCGCCGCCGCCGTCGCAGCCATCGCCGCTGCTGCCGTCGTCGGCGCCGTGGTCGCCCGATTTGCCCAAGAAAACTTCTGATTAATCCCGAAAAAGACCCTGCCCTGGGTGACCCTAGCATACCACTGGACAGCTCCCCACGTGCCCCAACAGGCATCCAACAAACCTCTGACCCACAACTCAGGCACGGTGGCGGGATGGGACAAGGCCCACTAGATGCACTTCCCTCTGGCCCAATTCAGATGTCCATCGCGCGACCGTTCGAAACTGAGTGTGTACCCTGTCAGAGCGCCGTCCAGCTTATCCGCTGCACGTAGAGGGAGAGGCAACAGCCTGTTAGCACAACCGCGCAGGGCAAGCACAGCTCCAGGGCAACAGCCTGTTGGCACAATACGCCCAACATGCCCACAGTCACAGACAACATACTTGTTTCATGAGTGTGTGTGTGTGCGTGTGTGCTTGTGTGCGCGTGTGTGTGTGTGTGTGTGTGTGTGTGTGTGTGTGTGTGTGTGTGTGTGTGTGTGTGTGTGTGTGTGTGTGTGTGTGTGTGCGTGCGTGCGTGCGTGCGTGCGTGCGTGCGTGCGTGCGTGCGTGCGTGCGTGCGTGCGTGCGCGCGCGCGCGCGCGTGTGTGTGTGTGTGTGTGTGTGTGTGTGTGTGTGGGTGTGTGTATGTGTGTGTGTGTGTGTGTGTGCGTGTGTTTGTCCGTCTCGCCCTTTCGGCTTCTGACGGGCCTCAAACATCTCAAGATGAATCTAAGCTGGGGCCAAGGGCCTCGCGACAGCCGAAGAGGACCTCAAGAGGTGCCGAAGAGGGCCGAATCACATTAGATACATGTGAGCGCATTGTATATCCATTTTTCAAGCGCCAAGAAGATCCCAAGGAGCCAATGCCATCG